ACATGGATGGAGCTGGAAGGGATCATGCTTAGTGAAATATGCTAGAAAGAAAAGAAAAATACCAGATGGTTTCACTTATAGCAGGAACATACAGGACCAGGGGAGAAAATAATAATAATAATGAACAACTGTATACCAGAGACTTTTTACGGGGGTGGAGTGGGGAATGGGATCAAAAACAGTGAGGGGAGGGAAATGCATGGGACTATGGCCATGGCACATGGGTGATTTAGTGATGGGAAGCCCACAGGGATTACAACTGAGATGGAAAAAGGCACAAAATGATGTAAAAATAAACTATTATTTAAAACACACACACACAATACAGGGCCTTTCTCTAAGAGCTGGATCAGCTAAGTCTTCCCCATTCCCACCAGGAACCTTAATCACTGCCCTGAGGCATGGAGTGTATGGAGCTCACAGGAAACAGTGAGAGAGCACATCACAAATCCCTGAGTAGAGAAACTTGAGTGGGTCTCCCTGGTGGCAAAAGGGGTTAAGCACCATGAAGTTATCCACAGCCACTGCACCAGTTCGATCCCCGGCCAGGGGGCTGACCCACATGGCACAGTAGACCCTCCTGACTTGCCCGCTGCTCCCCTCAGCAGTGTGCTTCAGTCAATCAGCCTGTTCTGCTCCCCAATCCTCTGCCTCTCGTGAATCCTCACACCTCCCTCACCCCTTCCCCTCCAACATCTCTGTCCTATACCACAGTTCTTGTATACATAAGTTAAAAAAAAAAATCTTTAAAAAGACCCAAAAGACTTGGAGTAGGGCAAAGAAAAGGAAAGCACACTGCATCGTCTGTTTGCTTGTAAGAGGCAAGCAAGTAAACCCTCGTTTACTCTTTTCCTGACTGTACTTGTGTTGAATGAGAGGCAAGCGCCCTGGCAATGACATCACTGTTTTAGGATGTTACTTCCTCTAGGAGTTTGCAGTTTTACTGGTGCTGAATTTATCTGAGCACAAGGCAAAGACCCTGCTGTGTCTGGCCCTGGAATTAGGAAGCATCAGACAGAAGTTAGAGCAAGTTGGAAACAACTCCCACCCAAACTCTCATTTTGTTTGATGCATTAGGAAAAGTTAGCATTATAACTCAGATCTGATCTTAGCAGTGTCCTTGTCCCACGTCATGTCATTCATTTTAGCACGTGTCAATATTTAAAAACAAAATACTCTTGCTCCGACGCAAAGTCTAAGACCTAAGGAAAACCCCAAACAAGAGCGACAGCAGCTCCACACAGTAACTACCTGTGCCAAGTGCAGGGAGTAAGGGACGCGGGGCCTTGCCGCAGAAGTGGGGTCTCCCCCAGCTTTATTGAGACATAATGCACACACCATACAATCTGCCCCTTTTGTTACAACTCAGTATTACTTAGTATAATCATAGCATTGTGCAACTATTACCACTATACAATTTCAGAACATTTTCATGAGTCCAAAAAGAAAACTCTGTGCCCATTAGCAATTGCCCTGATCCTTTGCCAGTCTCTGGAAACCACTGATCTACTTTCCAGTTCTATGAAATTTGCCCACTCTGTACATTTGATATACATGCAATCACGCAGCAGGTGGTCTTTTGTAGCTTCATTGTCCAGGCTCATTCGCACTGCAACACGCATCAGCACTCCTCCGTTTCTGTGTCCTATAGCCCACCACATGGCTATATGACACTCCTTTCTCCACGCCCCAGCCAGGGCATTCCCATCCTTTGTCTACTGAGAGAAATGTAGCTCTGAGTATTCATGTAACAAGTTTTGTGTAGAAATGTTTTCAATTTTCTTTGGCACAGATAAGAGCAGAAATGCTGGATTACATGGCGACTCTTTTTTTAATCTTGGAGGAACTGCCAGACTGTTTTCCAAAGCAGCTCCAATTCTCCACATCTTCTTGTCTGCTGCTATTCCAATGCACTGTGGCAGAAATTTAATATCAAAAAATGACAGCTGACATAACTGGACACACAGAGTGATGAACCACAGGACCCAATACCCCAGGCAGAGGTGTAGGGAATGGTACTGATAACCTGCTCTAGCCTGCTGCCTGTGGCACTGGTAGTTTAGGGCTGTGGCCCCAGGCCAGTAGCACCAGCATCACCTGGGAACCTCTTAGAAATGCCAAGTCTCAAACACCTCCTGGACCTCCAGTTCAGACCCTGGGTGGGCCCAGTCCTGTGTGTCTATAATCCTGACCCTGCTCAAGTTCAGGAGAGGGCAGGACATCTCTGCCCCCATGTCAGCTTGCACACCTTCTCCGTGCTGGTCAGTGCGCATTAAAGCGGTCATTCCCTGCCACTAAGGGTGCTGACACAAGAAGGAGCTTTCTCAAGAATTCGACCATGCAACCTGATTAGAAGGGCTTGACACTTTCAGCAATGAGACACTGCTGATGTAAACTTTTCACAACAATTCATTTTGGACGCAGAAAACCCAGCAGGAAGGTAGTATGCAGTAACACATACACACTTTTCCTCATTCCTCATACTTGCAGTTTTAAATATTCCTACCTACCTGCAATTTCTAAGAGCAGACTGTCAAGAGTTCTCCTTCAGCTCACTGGAAAGAGATGGCAGAGGATGTCACAGAACAATTATTTAGATAGTAAAGATGGTCTTCACGGATATCCCAAGACCAGGATACATTGATTACCATCTAAAATAAATGTGGAAGCAAAATGTTCTTTGGAGAACTACTACAAGTTTCTTTCCCATACTGTCATCTAGAAAGTTCCTTTCTACAGCTATCTCTGAGGCTTATGAATTCTGTTATTGGGGTAGGTGAAGCCTCTCTGTAGGAACATTTTTGCTACTTTTGTCAGACACTGGCTAGACAGCTGCTCTTCTGCATCTTCCTCTGGAACCATCTACGGTAGGAAGTGAAGCCAGCCTTCAACCAAGCCCAGCTTCTTCTCACGTTCAGCACCTTCTATCCAGTTGGCCAGGAGAGGTAGAATTGGCTCAAATCCATACGTGGAAAAAGAACCACATGGTCGAACCGAAAAAACTCACTATCATAGAACTGCTGTAACTATTTCATCTGTTCCTGAAATCCCAACCTTGTTCTCCGCTGATACAATGGATTTTCATAGCATTTCTCTTGTCTGGGACATCAGGGTGTCTCTGAGTGAATTCAAGACCCCCTGGTAAGCATCCAGGACATCCCGGGCAGTGGGCCTTTCTGCGGGAGACTGGTTCTTGCATGCCTTGTGGATGTCAAACAAATGGAACCGGACCATATCACTGCCTTCCACATGCCCCAGAAGGAAACTGGAGACATCTGGAATCTTCCAGATGTCGACCTTCTCGTCATGCGAGGGCATGAGGTCATCCTGAAAAGGCACATCCTCTCCATAGGGCCACAGCTGCTCTGGGGCCACAAAGTCCCCATGCAGCTGCCTGTGGCCACACTTCACTCGTGCCCCGGAACTGCGGTTCACCAGGGGCAGGGCGTCCAGGTCGTTGGCCACGATGCTGAGGTTACTGGTCAGCAGGTACTGGGACAGCGTCTTGGGCAGGTCATTGGAGTCACACATGACTCGCGTGCCCAGAGGGCTGTGGTGCAGGTAGTCAATGATGCCCACGTAGTCCATGGCCAGCTGCAGCCTATGCTGCCAGGTGTTCACATTCTGGTACTTTGAAAGGTTTAAGGTCTCTTCTAGGTTGCTCAAGGAACCTAAGGGGTGATACTCAGTAAGAATAGTGTTGTCTTCCTCACAATAGCCAACCAGAGTGACAACGTGTTTACTCTGTAGGGATTTCAGCATCTGCAGACCATGGAGGAAATCATCTTTCAGCTCCAGTCTGGTGAGCCGTGACAGGGCAACTTTGCGTTCCTTCCACTCAGACAGGAAGACCTGGAACACAGCCACAGGGAATGTCAAAGCAGAAGCTTTCACCCTTGTGAAGCTGGGAAATAACTCAATGGTCATCGTGTACAGAGGACACAGAAATGAGTAACGTAGACCTAGCCCTGCAGTGACTCTAGTTATAAAGCAAACACTCAACACTCAGCACTCAAGGGCCTGGGCAGGAGGAGGGCTGAGAGGGGCCAACTCTGGTCAGGATGCTGAGGGCCATCTGTAGGTGCTGGAAGGCTCCTAGCGTTGGCCTTGCAGAATGATGAGAGCTTGCAGTGGCAGTGGTACAGGAAGAGAGTGTACCCAGGAGAGGGGACTGCATGTGAAGAGCCAGCATGGCAGACAGCCTCCAAGTTCCACAAAGGGGAGAGGAAGAGGTGGGGAAGGAGACTGGAGCCGTAGGAGGGGGAGGGGACAAGGTCCAGGTGGAGCGCAACTCACACTCCTCTGCCCATTCATATCCAAGGGTACCAGAGTAAACCGCAAGGAGGACTAGTTCAGTGTACTGAGGACAGTTTCATGAGCCTGTGGCGTGAGTGACCTCAGCTGTAGAAGCAGGAGCTGAAACGCCATGCAAACAGCGGCCCTTGAGGTCCTGGCACATGCACGGCCACCAGGAGCCATCGTTCAGCACTGCCCTGGATGCCTGGCTCTGTCTTAGCCAGGAAAGGCCTCCTGGCCTGTTATTAAGAGACCCTCATCTTTGGCTTTAAACCCCAAAGGGCAGGCAGAAGGGAAAACTGACTGAGAACAGGAGACCCCCGCCCCGGGCTATTTCTGTGTCTCTCTGGCCTGTGGCTTGTTGGTTGATAAGATAAAGGCTGTGGTTTTCTAAAACAATTTGGGGCCTTATTTATCCAAAGTTTTTAACATCTAAATCTAAAATCTGCCTACGGCAATAATGTGAACTAGAGGAAAAGCTCTAGGAATAAAACCCTGGCATAGTCTACAAGAGCATAAACTAGAACCTAGCCACCCATCAAAAAATGGGGAGTAGTTCAGTTATTGCAGGATCACTCCATAGAATTACTCTGTGATCACCAGATTAATAGTTTCAGCAGACACAATATCACAAAGTAAGCAAGGACACAAAATTATTTTTATTATATGGTCCCAACTGCATAAAACAAGAGAGTTACATAGAAATGGAGGGAAATGGGCTGTTATGGCCATTGTCTTTATGTGGTAAGATAGCAGATGATTTTTTTCCCTCTTCCTATCTTGACAACTTTTTTAGATGTTACTTTTATCTTTCAAAACATATTTGAAAGAACTCATAAATACATAACTTTTCAATTTAAAACAGTGGATTGTATGATGTCATATTTTGCTTTTTTTCCCTCATCATGATGATTTTTTCATATTGCTGCACAGAACTCTTCTAACAGACAACTCGATGGCTAAAGAATATCTATCAAGGGATTGGACCTTAATTTTCTTTTTTTAATTTTTAATTATTTATTTATTTGAGGTAACATTGTTTTACAACACTCAACCTGTTTTAGGATAGGTTCCTACTTCTTCAAATGAATGTTATCAAACTGCGCCCACCGCCAAAGTACTAAACCCCCCACCACAGTCCACTAGGCCTCCTCTTCCCCTGCACTCCATCTGCTCTCCTGGACCATAAATCAATTAACCACCCCCACAATTATTGTTTCTAGTTTTCCATTACTACAAATGACAAAGCAAAATATTCCTTTATGCATTTGGCTGTTTTCTTGCCTCTGGATTATTAGAATAAATTACCAGAAGATTACTGAGCACAAGGGTAGACATATTTCAATGGCTCTTAACACGAAGCTGCTTTCCCACAGGCCACCTGTAACATCCCAACAATAAGGTAGAGATAAAGCACAGCTTACTTTCTTCACGGCGCCTTCCCCCACTCGCTTGAGCTGCCTCACTTCTGTCCTTAGCTCCTCACAACTCAGCCAGGGAGAGCAGTTTTTCATCTGCCCCATTCGGAAGTAACCATGGGGACAGTGATCCAGGTCCAGTGCAGAACGTCGAGGGGAGATGAAGAACCGATCCAGGCAGAGGTAGAGGAGCATGTTCATGAGGGCCATGGCGAGCAGCAGGCCCACAATGGGGGGCACGTCCCTGTGAGGGGGGCCCTTTCTACCATCCTGAGGTTTCTGCTCCATGTTGTCATCCTCTGTGAGTTCCTACAATGTAAGATGAAACAAGAAATCATAACACAGTCTACTTTGCTTTCTATTAGGTGCTTTGATGCAGGAGGCCCTCTCATGCCACTTAAGTGCTTAAGCGTCATTGTGGGGGTTAAAGGAGGCACAGGATACCAGGTTCTCACCAGGAACATGCTGTTATACAGAACTGGGGTACAGGCCAGAGGTGCAGGGGCAGTGAGAGGCTTCACCAGAACCGAGTAGGAGCAGAACAGGTAGGTTGACGAAATACACTGCTGAGGGGAGCAGTGGGTGGGTCAGGAGGGGTCTGATGCACCATGTGGGCCACCTCCGCGGCAGGGGATCAAACTTGCACTGAAGTGGCTGCAGCCAGCTTGCAGTGCTGCATC